CAGTGAATTCTCAAAAGAAGAAGTTCAAATGGCCAAAAGACACTTAAGGTCATGCTCCTCCTTAGCGATCAGGGAAATGCAAATCAAAACAACTTTGAGGTATCATCTTACACCTGTCAGAATGGCTAAAATCAAAAACACCGATGATAGCCTTTGCTGGAGAGGCTGTAGAGGAAGGGGTACCCTCATCCATTGCTGGTGGGAATGCAATCTTGTGCAACCACTTTGGAAATCAGTGTTTCGGTTTCTCAGGAAATTCGGGATCACACACACACACACATTTTAAAGTAAGCTTATAAAATGTTTCTCTATGACTTTCCCCCAAACATCCTTAGTGTTATTTTTTCTCTTTCCTCCTTCTCCTCTCTGTATTATCCTCCTTTTCCTTCCCCATTTAATTTCCCCCATTTCCCCCCTTAGGGTTACATCTACTGAGTTGGGACAGTGGATGATAGAGCTCCAATAAGTGATCTAATTAGCACAATGGTTATCTTTCCGTTCTCCGCAACCTTAAGTGTTCCAGTAGTATTGTAAGGCTGTTCCACAGGACAAGAAAAATTCAGGCAGAATTAGCTGCAGGAACTTAGGGGCAGAAGAGTCTGGGAACACTGAGTTTCAAGCAAGTGTCCCTATCTGTCTTCTTTTACAGTCCCTGTGGATCAGCATGGTTGGAAGATAGAAGCTAGCAATGAATGTGATTGGTATAAGAACATGGCCCTATTGTAGACCTGAAGCATTTATGATGGGCATGGTCCGGATTTTCCTATTCTCCAGAGAATTCTGGGCTCCTACCCTACTACAGGCTGTGCTATGTCAGCCTTATTCCTTGTCTAACCTTGGTCCTGTGAAAAAAGCTAGGGAAGCAGGAGGCACTCCATGCTCTCAGCTCTCATGTCACTGAGGGTTGCAATAACAGGAGGCAGTGAAAAGGGGGAGGGCTGCTTGGAGCACGTGTTTTGTATTGTTCATGGTGCAGTTTTGTTTCCCTATGATTTCTTGGGCAATGTGAACATTTCAAGTGATGTTCATTTCCCTCTACCTTTCACAGAAGGACCTGGTTCTGGCTCCAATTGCTAAGGTTGTTCCTTTTCTCCCTTGTTCTCATACAGCTCACATAGCTCTGCTGCCTGTTCTCTATGCGGTCTTCCCATCTAAGGACTAACTAGGCTGACCCCGTTTAGCCTCCAAGATCAGAAGAGATATTGGTATGTGTACAGTATGCAGCTGTATTTGTCTATTACTGACTATAAAACCAGAAAGAGGCATACCTAGGTTTTGAAAAAGATTGACTTTCTTGCTGAATTTTCTCTAAATTTGCTTTTGCCTTATATCTCCTTGTTATACACATCCATCTAATAGCTTTCTCTGCCCCACAAAACTGGTGATTCCTGGTCAAGGACAAACACATGCAGAACATTTCATCAACTATAATTTTGCAAAGGAACCCCAGGACAATAAACCAATATAGTCAATTGCTCTTTTTGTAGTCTGATATGCAATGCATAGACTTCTGCTTTATGAGCAGATCTGTGTATCATTTAGGGTGACATTGTCTATTGAGTTAGGTGGGGATAAGAAAGAGATGGAGGGAGGAGACAGGAGAAGTGTTAGAGGGAAGAAAGAAAGGCAATGTAATTATACTTTAACTAAAATGTAAAAATATAATTTCTTCCTAAAAAAACTTGTAGAAAAGAGAGATGAGAGAGATTTGAAAGAGCAGAAATTACAGACATAAGAATGTACTTTATACACATGGAACAGTTAAAAAACAAATTCAATAAAATTTTTAGACACACACACACACACTATTAGACTGACTAGTTTAAATCAGCATACATATGCCAAGACTTTCTTAGTATATGCACCATAGGGTTTTCTCTGATCTTTTATCCCCTTTGGAATTGAAGTCAAGGAATTATGTACTCATGGCTAGCACTCCTCAACTGAGACTGATCCACAGCTTCACATGCCCTCCAGTCTCTGGAAGAACAGATATTTATTCTCACCATATATTAGAGATTTGCTGTGAGTTGGTAAGCATTGCTTGATGGTATATTGGCAGAATGTCAATATTTACATTCTATGTTAAAGATTCCTCATGCAAGCTATCATATCTTCAATGCTTGAGATATAATAGTTTACATAAGTGACCCCAAAATTCTACCAAAGAACTTCTACAACTTATAAATACCTTCAGTAATGTAGCAGGATACAAGATTAACTCAAAAAAAATCAGTAGCTATCCTTTACACAGATGATAAATGGGCTGAGAAAGAAATCAGAGAAACACCAACTTTCACAATAGCTACAAAAACATAAAATATCTTGGAATAACATTAACCAAGCAAGTGGAATACCTGTATGACAAGAACTTTAAATATTTGAAGAAAGAAATTGAAAAAGAAACCAGAAAATGGAAACATCTCCCATGCTCTTGCTATGTAGAATTAACATAGTAAAAATGGCAATCTTATCAAAAGCAATCTACAGATTCAATGCAACGTCCATCAAAATCCCAGCAAAATTCTTCACAGACCTCAACTTCATATGGAAAAGCAAAAAATCCAGGATAGCCAAAACAATTATGTACAATAAAGGAACTTCTGGAGGCATCACAATCCCTGACTTCAAACTCTACTACAGAGCTGCAGTGATGAGAACAGGCTGATATTGGCATAAAAACAGACAGGAGGACCAAAGAAACCAAATCATTCCACACACCCACAAACACCTGATTTTGAGAAAGAAGCAAAAAATATACAATGTAAAAAAAGAAAGCATATTCAACAAATGGTGCTGGCATAACTGAATATCAACATGCAGAAGAACGAAAATGTATCCACATTTATCACCATGCACAAGACTTAAGTCCAAATGACTCAAAGACCTCAACATAAAGCCAGGGACACTGAACTTTATGCTGACATTAAAGTTAGCCAGCAGAGTTACTCACCTGTTGTAGGTGCCCACACCTAACCATTTGGGATTTAGCTTGACCTTCTGAGATTTCTGTAGGCCTTCTTAGCCATATACCAGCAAAGCGTGCTGCTTCTTATCCTAAAACAGTGATCCTCAACCTGTGAGTCAAGACCCCTTTGGGGTCGAATGACCCTTTCATAGGGGTCTCCTAAGACCACCCTGCAAAATTTATGAAGTAGTAACGAAATAATTTTATGGTTGGGGTCACCACAACATGAGGAACTGTATCAAAAGGTCCCAGAGTTAGGAAGGTTGTGAACCACTGCTCTAACCGAAGAACAGCAATGAGTAATATTTCACAATGTCTCTGTCAGGCAGGTGAAAATGGGCTCACAGGATCCTGGGAAGGCCAGCCATAGTCTGCAACCTGCTGTGAATCTGGAGTCAGGTCATGCAGGCTGGGTGCTGACCCTCAGGACAGGCCACGGGATTTTTGTGGTGGAGGCAGCAGTACTCGGGCTTCTCCTCCCAAGGCACAGGAGACATGGTTGTCGAGTCGGGGATCATTCCACCGTGAACAATGAGCTTCCTGTGGAGCCTGTGCTCCCGTCTCCACTCCAGTATTTTAAGATTTGGGGACTCAAGGAGGAAATATTCTTTCAGGTATATTGAGCAACAAATTTTTGTGTTTGCTTTTGAGATTCTTTTATTGATTTAGTTGGTATGTAATGTTGTGTGTCACAGTGATTAAATTTAGCCCTTGGGTCTCTCAGTCTCAAAATCAAAGCATTTGTACTGAAGCCATGAACTCCACACAGCTATTCCGATCTCTGTTATTTAATGTTATGAACCGATTCCTCAGTTAGGGCTGTGACTTTGGGACTGGTTTTAGCTGTAACACTGAGTCCCTTTGCTGCAGAATCTGTATTTGTGTTTACAAGAAAGATCCTGTATTTTCACATATGAGTCTATGTCAACAGCTTCTATGCTGTGTCTATGTACGGTGGGCAGAAAAAAAAATCACTGTTATACTATTGGACTGGTCTGTAGGTATCTTTCCATCCAGTCCTATTGCCATTTTTCTCTTTGATCTGTGAAAGGAAATGCCGAGACCAAATGCCTGCTACATGTCATAAAGCTTCTGGTTTAGCACTGAAAGTATTTAACAAAACAGCTCATGGGTTTCCTTGAGAGATCTGATTTTGTTGCCAAGACATTTGTTTGTTCATGTTGTCTTATAAAAGTGATTGTCTTCTTAGAATAAAAGTTAGTTTTGCAGAAATGACTACAAGAGTAGTAAATCGTTAACAATGAATAAAATCACAACCAGCCAAGGCATAGCTCTTCCATATGTATCCAGCCATGGACTACGGGGAGAAATGTGACTTCAGTAATTCCATGCATTCCAGATAATGATGGCATCCCTGGCTCTCAGTCCCAGCCTTCCCCATGTAAGAGGCCCTGTCAGACCCTTCCTAATCCAGTTTCCTTGTAACTCTAGACCCTTCACTATCATTGCCTCCTTAACCTTGGGTCACGTTCAAGAGATTTGATGAAAAAGAAAATCTGTCCAACTGCATCCAATTGAAAACCTTGATTATTAAAGGATATTAAAATCAATTGATAGAGCAGTTTCTGGTATTGAACCATGACTTAATCAAATCATGCCTGAGAAAGATACTGTGAAAATTGTCAGATGCCACGAACACATAGAAATCCTTAGAGTAAATGGAGAATGACCTTGTGTACACAGAGAGAAGAGCTTTTTTATCCAAGCCTAAGATTATTTCAAAAATATCCTCTTATCTTGCCATATCAGCAGGTTGATAAAGGGGTCATCAAATTTGCACTCAGCAGAGCAAATATCATGTGTCCAGGCTTAACTTCGGGAGCTAAACTTTACCCTGGTGTTGTAGATACTATGGTTGCAATCATGACACAAGAAAAACAACTTGCCAATTGATGTGTTGGAGTCATGGAGATGTCTGTAGAAGATATTGAGGAAGTCAACAGAGGAATTGGTATTAAAAATATCCATTTTTTAAATTTTTATTTGTTCTTTGTGGCTTGCACATCATACATTCAGATCCTATTCATCTCCCTGTTCCTTTGTTCCCTCTGCCCTTGCTCACACCCCAAAAATAAAATAAAATTTAAGAGAAAACATGTCATCTTGGAAGCTGTAGCAGGACACAGTAAAAAATGCCCATTATTTAAATGATGGGCTGTGACATATGAAAACATATAAATGAACCTTAAAAGAATGTGTTTGGACTAAATACGAATATTGTGTCATATCTGTGTTTGTGTCTGTGTGTGACTGCATAAAGACAAAGCTTCTGTGGTTAAGCTGAATAAATGATGTTTAAAAAAATACTATGCAGTGACAGCCAGAGGGTGCTAAAGAACTTTAGGTAGTCACACTTAGATCAAAATTGTCTCTTTCTTTCTTTGTACATTATATTATATTTATTTATGTCCTCGGATGCAAGTATGAGCACATATGGAAATCTGAGGATAATTTGTGGAGACTCAGTTACCTCCTTCTACTATATGAGTTCTGGGGATTGAACTCAGGTCATCCGGCCTATCAGCAAGTGCCTTTAACCTGCTGAGCCACCCTCCCAGCCCAGAAATTGTCTCTTTCTTAAAACTGGAGATGCTGCAGGTAATACCTCCACATAAGAAGGGTTTCTGTGGGGTTATTTCAGGAAGGCTATGATGTATATCTGAATATGGGGTCGATGGTTAGAAGTCGTCTGCTCATTATAATTGTGAGGCAGAAGAGTGACAGCCAAGGCTCCACAGATATACTGCAATCAAAAGAAGAAACAAGCAGAATGGTCTTAATTCTGAGTCCATCTGGTATAAAATTGCAGCTTCCTGGTCATTAGGAATGTTTCTGACACCCTGCTACCTGAGCTTATATGTCAAAATAAAGGAGGCACGTCAGGTTCACATCATTCGTGGCATCGTCTGTTCCTTCAATTCACTGCATGCTTCTAACTGTGTATGATTTCCAGGCTCCTACAATTATATATCCCTTGTATAACTTGGCATTGTTGGCACAGTGTGCACTGGTGGTATTTAATAGCTAGGTACTAGAACACCAGTCTCGGGGGAAATTGCCATCTACTTTACCCTCCCGAGAAAACTCTGACTTTCTGGTCATTGAAACATCACACACTGCTGCAAAGAAAGAGACTGTGGCAGTTTGGCCTGCCTGCACATGACTCTCTCTCTCTCTCTCTCTCTCTCTCTCTCTCTCTCTCTCTCTCTCTCTCTCTCTCTCTCTCTCTCTCTCTCTCTCTCTTTCTCTCTCTCGGATTTCAGGTCAACCTTGGATGCACATCAGCAGTTCTGTATTCGTCATACTGCTCAGGGGAACCCAGGCTGATAGGTCATACTCCATGCCCAAGGGGTTCCTCAGTCCAAAAGAAAAAAAAAACTGAAGACGCTCTGGCTTGGAGCCAGGGAGCCCCACAAGAGGCCACTGCAAGCATGTAGGTCTGAGTCAGCTGTGCCTGGGCCAGGCCGATGACAGAGGAATTCAAGCAGTAGAAGACATAGCTTGATGTGTGAGTCAAGGTTCCCACTTTCTTTGGTACTCCTGGAGCAGATGTCCCTTTACATTATTTGTCTCATACTAAGGAATGGTTGGCCCATTCACCTAGCTCCCATTACAAAGGCTCAGCCCAGCTTGGAAGATCACAGAGACCTTTGCTGAGCTTTGGTGAATAGAGATTGTGGCTAGTGTCTCTTCCCAACTCAAGAGCAGCAAGAACATATGGGTGAATGAATACATGGAAGAAAAGGAAAAGGGATGATTTGTGTTTCTCACCATAACAAGGTATTTAGAACGGGAGGGATGATGAAGGATATTAGAAGTTGCTTGTATTTGTGTGATCCAAGTCGTGGGTTCTTCCTACTTTATATTCATAGCTCTGAGGTAAATAAGAAGAAAAGGGAAAGTTATGAAAAAGCGTTTTTGTATACATGGAATAAACAGTTTGCTGTCTCTTCCACTCTTTAGGGCATCTACATCAGTGGTTCCCAACCTGGGGGTCACAACCTCCTTGGAGGTTAGAGCAACACTTTCGCAGGGGTCTCATAGCAGATTTCCTGCATGTCAGATATTTACATTATGATTCATAGCAGTAGCAAAGTTGCAGTTATGAAGCAGCAACAAGAATAATTTCATGGCTGGGGGTCTCCACAATAATGAGGAACTGTATTAAAGGGTCACAGCATAAGGAAGGGTTAGAACCACTATACTACATGTAGAGAAAGCCTTAGAACATGATGTCCTCACGTCCCACTTTGGGTAGAAATAATAAAGAATGGATAATGTAGCTCTCCTCTTTGCTGTGGTTCTCTGGAGCTTCTATCTGTCATCATGAAAGATTTGGAAAGGGATCCCATGCCTCAATGCCTTCAGCTGTGCTCTGTAGTATGCTAGCTAGTACATCCTTCTTTAACATTTAATAGACCTTCTTTAAAATGAAATGTAGTTAACATTACTTAAAATTATGTCGGATCCAAGCCAATTTTCTTGATGACATGAGCTTCATTTCAAGTATTCAGGATCTACCTGTAGGTAGCGACCCCATCATCGGACTCGATTTGAATTTTGCTGATCATGTTACCAGGGAGGGATTCCAAGGACAGATACACATGTCTAGGACATCATGGTTTCTGTCGATGCAGCCCACCTCACCCGTGCATATGCTTAATAAAATATTAGAATATGACAAACGCCCACTTGTCCCTTTCTATCCCTCCTAGACCCCGGTTGGCTCAGATGTGTCAAGCTTCTTCTGTAAGGCAACACAATAATTTTGGCTTCAAGGGCCACATTTGTTGTCTGTTGCTCTGCTTTCCCTCTTATGTGAAGCCACTTTTTCCACCTGAATGCTCACCTTGTTGCCCAGGTTGATCTCAAACTCCTAGTCTCAAGTGATCTTCCTGCCTCACCCTTATCAGAACTACAGGAGGAATGTGCCTGTACACCCAGCTAGCCAGTAATTGGCAAGGTAAAACCATTCTGAGTTCCTGAGACAAAGGCATCCCATAGACAGAATAGTTGTGCAAGCCACAGGGCAGTGCACTGATGTTTTGATGGGTGTGCATAGAGAAGTTATGCTGCCTAGAATTCATTTACTGACAATGAAGGAGACATTTGTGTGTTGTAGAGAGGGCGTGGTGGTCAGGTACAGGGTGGAAACTCTGACCCCTATCCTATGACCCCTATGCCGGCTCCAGCTGACTCCCACAAAAGAGACTGTTGAAAAGGACTCTGGGAAAGGCTGTGGAATGACGGGGACGGGATGTCTCATCTTGATGCAGCCACCAAGGCACTTGCCCAGCACCTTTCTCACCTTGTTCTCTGCTTCCCAATTGTCTCTCCGCAGCTCCTCTATCAGGGTGAAAAGTCGTTCTCTAGTCTCCAGGCTGCGCATGCTGGCGCTGTTCTCCATGTCTGCAGGTAGAATTTGCAGGAATTTCTCCGTCACCAACATCGCCAGGATCTGTTCCACGGACCGTGTCTGTGGCTTCAGCCATTGAAAGCAAAGCTCCCAGAGTCGGCAGAAGGCGTCCCGGGGCCCGGCTGCTTCTTCATACTGGAACTGACTGAAGCGCCTGTGGAAGGCTTCCCAGGGTGTGTCACGCTCTTGAGGCTGAGGGCCCTGGTGGCACGATGAGAGGACCTGCATGGCAGATTTCCTGGGTGCAGCCATTGTGCCCCTTGGCTGGCTGCTTACAGCTTATCGGGGGCCTGAGGTCTCAGGTCTCAGCTGTTTTGCTGGGTGTTCAACAGGGAAGCCACCTGCAACAAAGGAGGGGACTCGGTGACAAAGGAGACACAGCAGTGGTGACAAGAGGGTTCACTGGGTGCCCTGCTTTTCAGAATCTAACAGAAAGCACCAACTCTTCTCAGAAACATATTTTTATATGTTCATATCTAATATATACATGTCCAACTCTACACCCAGCTGCCAAAAACTTACAAAATGTCCACCCCTCCACAGACTCCCTGGGCCTGTCCTTTCCCTAGGTTAGCCACTGGCCCTGTGTGGCTACTGAAGTGGGCATTAGTGGAAGCTGGAGGCTCTGTTCCTAGCCACATTCTCTCTGCTCCATGAGCATCATTGAAGAGCCCTACCTGCTGTTGGGAAGCTCAGCTGGAGTGTTTCCAGGAGCCCTGGGATGGGGCTTCCTCCTCAAGAAGTTCAGGTCTCTAGCCCCTCTCCTGGTGAAATAACATTAGCCGTGTGTTTCTGAATTCAGAGACACTCCAAAAGAGTGGAAGAGAAACACCTGCAATCTGCCTGAATAACCCTCGAAAGTCTCTCTAGTCTTGAGTCCCCCTAAATAGCCTTCCCTCTGAGTGACCCGTGATGGAGTGTGCTCCTCAGACTTCTCACCACAGGCTGCTGGAGAACCCCTGGGCCACCACAGGTGTCCACTTGTACAGTAGGCTTCTGTCCTAGTGAGATGTCTATTGGTATGCTACACTTCAGAACCAAAGCCACCTAGAGAGGAAAGCGCTCATTTCATCATACAGCTTGGAGTATATCATCAAGGAACACCAAGGCAAGAAGTCAAGACAGAAGCTTGAAGCAGAAACCCCAAAGGAATGATGCTTATTAAAATGCTGTAACCCGAAATTATAAACCAAATAAACCCCTTCCTCCCCCAAGTTGCTTTTTTTCCAAATTTATTTTTGGAGACAGGGTTTTTCAGTGTGACCACACTGGCTGTCCTGGAACTCACTCTGTAGACCAGGCTAGCCTTGAACACACAGAGATCTGCCTACCTCTGCCTCTTGAGTGCTGGATTAAATTAAAGGCATGTGCTGCTACTGTCTGGCCCCAAGTTGCTTTTTGTCAGAGTATTTTATCGCAGCAACAAGATGAGCCTAGAAGAGATATCTGTACTTAGAAGAATGTGTTCCGTGTTATGGAAACTCTACAAAGTCTAAATGGCATCCAGCATTCAAAGTTACCCCTTATAGTGCCCTTGGCCTGCAGCTTAAAACTTCACCCATTTGATCCCACTTCCTTAAATTTTCTATTTTTACAAAAGCCCTTTGGGTCTAGAGAGATGACTCAGCGATTAAGTGTCCAGGATGATCATCCAGAGGACCTGGGTTTCAGTCCCAGCACCCACATAATGACTTACAACTGTTTTTAACTCCAGAATCAAGGGTTGCAACATCTTCTTCTGGACTCCACAAGCACCAGACATGCATATGGTGCACAGTCCTACATGTATACCAAATACAAAGAGACTCAAAATAAAAAAGATACTTTAAAAACTTCCCTGGCTTTAAGGTATATGATGGACTTTGAAAAGGAGGTCTTCATTTTCTGGTTCAGCTGGCTTTTCAAATAAAGTCATCTTTCGTAACAGAGCACCTTGACATAGTTGGTCTATCGTGCATCCAGCAGCTGTGTTTGACTCCAATACCAACCATTTCTCTCAGACATTTACCATGTGGCCTTGTCGGACTTGGCTCAGTAGCCTGAGATTCACACTTTCTGTTTCTCATTGGCACAAAGAGACTAACACCACTATCCAGTTTCTAATCTCTGCAGTCCATGTGTGGAGTGATATTTTGTTTGTAATCTAATAAATAAGCTTGTCTTAAAAGCTTGCATGAATATCAGGGTGCAACGCTAAGTCACTAGTTAACCATAGAGGCCAGGGCATGGTGGGCCACACCTACAGTGCGAGGACTCGGGGGACAGAGGCAGATGGATCTCTGTGAGTTCAAGGCGACCTGTGGGCTACACAAGATTGAATCTGTCTAAAAGAGAAACAGAGCTCACACAAAGGTGATCCCAGCACTAGGGAGCTGGAGACAGGAGTGATATGGCTGGGCAAAGAGAGTCATGTATAGCAGGAGAAGACAGGAACTCAGTGCAATCTGAGGATTCAGTCTGAGGATGCAATCGAGGGTTTGTAGAGACAGCATTCAGTCTGAGGTTTCACAAAGACAGGATCACCCCTTCAGTCTGAGCATTGGTAGAGGAATTCCTGCCTCACAGCTCTGCTTCTCTGCTCTATCAGCTTTCACCCCCTAATATCTGACTCTGAATTTTTATTATTAAAACCAACTAGAATTTATGCAACATATGTGGAACAGTATCTGGCACCTAGCTGAACTCAGTAACTGTCCTTTATTCAGGGTACGTAACTCAGGGTCTCTCCTGTTGCAGTACATTTGCCTACTAAGAAAGTGTACTAGTTAACTTTCATCGTTAACTTGACACAAACCAGTCACCTGGGAAAAGGCAACCTCAGTTGAGAGATTGCCTAGATCTAACTGACCTGTAGATATGTCTGTGGGGCATTGTCTTGACTGTTGTTTAATATAGGAGGGCCCAGACCACTCAGTTCGGTACCATCCCCTAGGCAGGTGGGCCTGGGATCTATTTTCAAGAAGCTAGGTTGAGTGAGAGTGAGAGCTAGAGCAAGAGAAGGCAGGACAGGAATTCAAGGCAGGATCCTGAAGGCAGAAACCATGGAGGAATGCTACTTGCTGGCTCATTCCCAAACTTCCTTACATAGCCCAGGACATCCTACACAGGGATAGACTGGGACCTCCTGCAACAGTTAATGATCAAGAGACTACCTCACGATCATGTCCAAAGGCCAATCTGATGGAGGCAATACTTCAACTGAGACTCTTGTTTTGAAGTGATTCTAGATTGTGCCAAGCTGGCAGTTCATGCTAATTAGGACACCATTTCACCGTCCCAAGCCTTATGGTAACAAACAATATCCTTCCTGCTGCCTATATGCAAGAACATGGGCTACTTAAACACCATTTTCTCATCTTGTCTCTGTTTTGTTACGTTACTGGTACACTCTTGAGTTTGAACATGTCTCTACCTTCTAGAGCTCACAGACGTGTTCCATATGGAGTTAATGCTCTTACAGAGAGATGAGATCGGGTTCTGGTTGCCTGCCATTCAAATACCAGGAAAGCAAGACATTTCAGTGCAATTTCTGAGGCTACAGAGATGGTTACATAAATGTCTCTAAGGGTCTCAGCACTTGGATGTCACTGTGTCCTCTCCCCGCGTAACTTACTGCGACCATTCCTCTCTACTTCTCTGCAGAAACTCAGGGATGGGAAATCTTGTGACGCTCACTGGGTATAGTAGGAAAAGCACTTGGGAGGCTAACACAGGAGAAGCCCAAGTTTAAGGTCAGTCTGAGAAACTGAGAAATTTGAAGTCCAGGTTGGCCTGTATAAAAAGCTCTCATCTTAAAAACAAAACAAAAACAACCCCCAATAACGGAAATAAGAAGCAATGACCTGAGACCTAATAGCTCAGTAAAAGAGTTCTTGGTGAGCATGCACAAGGCCCTTGCCTCCATCTCCAGGAACACACACACACACACCTCCAGGAATTCCCTCCTTTATTCTTCTTCTTACCTAGTTCACTAAAATCTATACTATCAGTAAATATCAAGCTCTACTAAGTGAGAATCTGAAGTTCAGTGCCAGACGGATGATCTAGGTTGGATGAACTTCTAGCTATGTGATCATGATATAGTGTTGCTGTTTGCAACAGGTCATTGACTATTAAGTCTTTCATAAAATGTACCAAGTCCAATTTTACAGAAAAATAAATATATCCAGTTCAAGTGTCTGGAAGAGAGATGTGAGGTCCATCTTCCAGGACCAAGAAAGAAAGAAAGTCATGAGGGACTCGGAAGTTGAAGGTTTTACAAGGAGTCGTAGGCAACAGGACATACTCTGGAAACGTGAATGAGACTTCCCCTGCTAAGTCTCAGGCATTTGAATACTTGACCCCATTTGATAGCTGTTAGAAGAGTATTAAAAGGTGTGGCCTTTCTGAAGGAAGTATGTCACTGGGGACAGACTCTGAGGTTTCCAAAGACAAGTGTGAGTCCCAGGGTGTCCTCTCTGCTTGCTGCTTGTGAATCCAGGTGTGAACTCTTAACTATTCCTGCTTCCATGCCTTTGCTTTGTCATCAAGGGCTCTAACCCTCTGAAACCATGAGCCCAATTAAATGCTTTCTTTTATAAGTTGTCTTGGTCATAATATTTTATCACAGAAGTAAAAAAGAAACTAAAATGCAGACTTTATTCTCTCCAGGTCACAACCACACAATCCACCAGTCAAGCAGACACCAGCAGGCCCCAAGGCACACACAGGCTGGTGGTGCAGGCACACCCATAGACCACAGCGAGGTAGACACACAGGCCTACAGACACCTATAGACGGCTTGTAAAGACACAAGGCAGAGGTAAAGGCCCAGGAAAAGGCTCCAACCTCTGATATAGTTATTCAAAACTCACACAAAAGTGACATTCTGACAAATAGTTATTTAATAGATTATAATACTGTTTACTTTGGGTTCTCTAGAACCTCCAGTGTTAGCTACTTTCTAAATATCCTCTGAATATTAAGGCTTAGCCATCTTGGATAAAGACAGGTATCCATTTTAGCAACATGTTGTCTCAACATAAATTGACCATTATAGCCCTCTGTTTTTTATAAGCGGTATTATTTAAAACTTATTTGTGATCAGGACCCCTTCTGGGAATCTTTTGTTTTCATGCCTCGAGGTATCGATACTTGACTGGTGGCCATGCAGGATCCGTAGGAATTTTCTGTGGACCCATCCATTAATCTCCTTTCAGCTCAGCATTTCTACCCTGACCAATCCAAGCCTTCAACTGTGTCAACTAGGAAAGTAGTATGGCCCAGTGATCGAGCATTTTCCCTGCACGTGATGACCCTGAGTCCCATCCCCAGTGCTGCAAAAAAAATACATACAAAACAA